TCATATGTTAGGCGGGAGCGCGTGTATTTTGAAATGTCCATTTTGGGTTTCAGGAATTTTGCTTTCACTCCCTCGATGTTGGCCAGATCTTTTTTTTGGCAGTTTTTCCCAAATCAGGTGAATCCCGTAGGTGAGTATTGGTAGGATTTTTGTGTCGAATAGACTCATAGCTGTCTTTAAGGTTAGATGCCGTAAGTTGTTGATGTCGTACATGGCTTTCATGGCTGCCAGTGCTTTGTCTTTGATGTGTAATCTGAGCGTCCCGGTAGTCTATAAAGTGATTCCCAGGTATTTAAACGAATTTACTATTTCAACTTTGTCCTCTTCATATTGTAGGTTGTCGTCTGCTGCTGTGCGTCCACCCTTCCGGAAGACCATCTGTTGGGTTTTTGCCCAGTTTATTTTTAGACTGTTATTTCCTGCCCATTCTACCAGTGCTGAGAAGGCGTGTTGGAGTTCTTCCTTGTTTGGTGATCCTAGGACCATGTCGTCCGCATACATGTATATCACTGCATCTTTCGACTTTTCTCTTATTTCTGCTATTACATCCGCTGTGACAATATTGAATAATATGGGGCTGAGGGGGTCCCCTTTTAGTACTCCGTTGGTTTGGGTAATTTCTTTTGTTTTGCAGATCGCATCATCTATGGCGATTTGGTTGTATGCCAGGATATTTTTTACTATGACAGTAGGTTTAGATTTCCGATCATATTTTGGAGTTTCGATATCAGTTTATTCCTATTTATTAGATCGAAGGTTTTTGTATAGTCTATGAAGACTGCATAGAATTTTCCCTTTCGGAATCTCTGTGTTTCTTCTATGTCGTTTAGTAAGTTTTGTATTGCATGCAAGGTTCCTCTTCCTCTTCTAAAGCCAAATTGTTCCTCTGGTATCTTGGGGTTGACTTTTCCTATTATCCTGTTGGTTAGAATTCTTGTTAGCAACTTGAAGATGTTGCTTTCTAACGCAATTCCTCTGTACGAGTTAGGGTCGTTGGTTTCACCTTTCCCTTTGTAGAGGGTTTTAATTGTTGATTTCCTCCATTCTTCGGGGATGTTTCCTGATTCTAGGCATTTGTTAAATAGCTTGGACCATAGTTCTGCCAGGCATTGTGCCGATTCTTTTAGGTGTTCATTGTAAAACCCGTCTGGTCCAGCGGCCTTTTTACATTTTGTAATTTTGATGCCGTCCATCACTTCTATTTTAGTGATGGGGGATATTGCTTCAAGTTGATTGCTGCATTCAATTTCATACGCACTTGTTGCCCTGTACTGTTAAGAATATTAGTGAAGTGTGTTTCCCACGTTCCTATCTCTACGTTGCTAGATCTTGATGTTCTTCTGGGTCTGATGGCTACATATGGATCATTCATTGCTTCTTCGGCGATTCTTTCGCCTTCTTTTTCTATATATTGTGACATGTTGAGCTATGGACGTCGCCCCTCCCCCCGCCAGCCGAAGTGAGCCGAGCGGAGCCGAAATTAGCCGAGTCCTAGCATCCTGGTAACTATGCAACGCGAGTCAACAGCGGTGACGTCACCAAGGGGTACCGCGGTTGCTAGGCAGCGCGGGTAAACAGTGGTTGCGAGACGACGGTAGTAACAGCGGTACACAGCGTTACTAGCACGACGGCACCAGACAACAGTGGTGCCTATTACGTGGCCGTTTTCTGTATTGTCCGAACGCGGCTACATAAGGAGCAGCGAAGGCTATTCACAGTTACCCCCGTGTGGAGGCGGGGTCGAATACCTCCACCGTGACCCTGCGAGTGGTAAGAGGCGACGAAACGGGAAGTCTCAAATCTGAGACAGTAAAATATGGTCGCGAGTCCCAAGGGACTCAGACCCGAGAAAGACCGCGCTAGAAAGGACCAGCATTATATGCAAAAGACAGACCCGTCCTCTCGTCAGAGAGGGCGCCCCACAAAATTAAGACCGTAACTGTCAAACGGTAATAATTAATATCTGGTCATGAGCCCCATATGAGGCTTGACACCAAGACTTACTGACTGACTGATCGTCAGTCGCAATGTGACTTGGACTTGGACTTCACAGTTAGTCCTCGAGTTAGTCCCGAGTTAGTTCCGAGTTAGCCAGCAACCAGTCAGTTGTATTCTGGCATTTGAAGTGTAGTATTTGTGATACTGCAGATAGCAGTAATTGTGAATCTGTAATTTGGGTGATTGTAAGTGCGAATGTGAATTANCTTGATGTTCTTCTGGGTCTGATGGCTACATATGGATCATTCATTGCTTCTTCGGCGATTCTTTCACCTTCTTTTTCTATATATTGAGTATGTTTTTGTTTTAGAAGGTTCTTGTAATATCTCCGTTTTTCCCCATATACTCGTAGGTCTTCTGGTTCCAGCGTCATCTTGGCTATATGCAATGCATTTAATGCAGTTTGTCTCTCTGCATAGCGCTCCTTATCGAACCATGGATGTGCTTTCCTTGTGTTCTGTTTGTGGGTTGTGCTTGTTTCTAACATTTTGTTGATTTTTGTTAGGGCTGTCTTTAGGCCGTTCCCCTTGATTGCCAGCTCTGCTTCGGTTGCTTTCCCTAGTTCTCTCTCCAATGCTGCTATGTTTATGTCTCTGTACATGGTGTTTTTGACATGTTTTGATATAGTTTTCAGTGGGGTTTTGAGTGAAAATTTGGTCTGGATGGGGATGTGTTTTCTTGATGGGGTTATTTGTGAAGTCCATAAGCCCTTTTGTTCAAGAGTTTCTATGTTGTCTCCTTTGTGGAATACCAGGTCAATGGTGCTACTGCCATTATGGGCAAAGTAAGTTTTACGTGTTGGGTCATTTGTTATTTTGCAGTTTTCCTCCTTAAGGAATGCGAGGATAGCTTTACATTTCATATCGGGTTTGTCTATTCTGCAATTCATGTCTCCTGCTAGTATTATGCTTTTTTCGGGTTCGTAACTTTTCGGAAGGAGAAGGTTAGGAGTTCCATTGTGTCCTCTATTTCGGTGTTAGGGCGTATTTAAATGCCTTAGTCGCTTTTGCAATTATTGGGTTTTCTTCTGTACATAAGGTCTTCATGGGTCCTATCCGTGGTTTATAGAAGATAGATACCCCTCCTGATGGCCTTCCTTCTGCTAGTCTCCTTTCTAGTGAGTGGATAGAGTAGAATCCTCCTATGTCGGTAGGTTTCGTTAGGAATGTTTCTGTGAGAACTAATATGTCTGGGGTTTCCAGGGAGTTTCCTGGGTGTAATTTCAGTAGGCCTTTTAGTCCTTCCACATTCCATAGGAGCATGTTTATGGAGTTATTCGAGAGATATGCCTTCGTTCCTTCTGGAGAAGCGAAATCGCCGTACAATTACTCCGCTTGGCCAGAATTCAGGGTTAGTTGTCATTTCCAGGCATTTGAAGGGGATTCCAACTTTATAAGCTTTGGTTTCTCCTCTCGTTAAGGTCTCTTCGCAGGTGATGTTCCCTTGGATTCCTTTCTTTGTTAGGTAGTTTTCCACCTTTTCTGAAGTCGTTCCTTGCTTCAGCTTCCCAATAAATAGCCAGGCTGTTTTATCTGCTGCTTGCAGGTCGTCTTCTGCGGTACCGGTGCCGATTAATGTTTTGGGTGGTGATTGTCGTTGCTGAGTGTTTCGTGGTTGCGGTTGCGGCTGATTGTTTCTTCCTTCCTCTGTGCTTGCTATTGTGTTTGTGTTCGCGTTATTGTCTCTTGGGTGTTGCTCGTTGTTTCGTGTTCCGGGTAACGGGGTGAATTCTTCCTCTATGTCCATGACGTCTCTATTTGTATTGGTTGTTTCTCTGGATTTCAGGTTTTTTTGTTTAATCACAGATGGACTCGGTTCTATGTTTGAGTATCGGTTGATTGCCTTTTGTATTTTCTCATCTATAGCTGCATCCAGCTTGTATTTTATATATTCTGTCATTAGCTTCATCTTTAGTGTCAAGTCTTCTATCTTTGGACTGTTTGTCGAGATGTCCTCCATTGTGGACACCATTTTCTGGAGTATGTCCTCCTGCAGTTTATTTTTTTGCATACTCAATTTACAGGTTTTACATATCCACGTTAAGTTGCAGTTACTCTTGCACATTATGTCAAATTCTCCCTGCTTGATACCAGCGCAGTCCTTTTGATGCCATAGTTCACAGGCGCCCTCGCATTGTATTGCTTGTTCATTTTCTCCGAATCCTTTTTTACATGAGCCGCATTTTTCTTCGCTTTGGTTTACTGCGTTTTTCTGTGGTGACATCTTTGGTTAAGTGCGTCACTTCCAGTTTCTCTCGTAGGGTGTATACTCTTTGGATTGTTGGTCTGCCTTAACCTCTTTGTCGTTCCAGTTGTTGAGTTGCTTGTTTGCTATTGCTATTATACACCTAGGATCGCCTAGGATTGATTTACGAACGTTTGTACTTACGTATTAGCGTGTTTTCTTTCTTATGAAGTATCTGTTTCTTCTTCTGTTTCTGTTTCTTCACAAAAAGAACCAGTACTATCGCACCAATCAATGTGTATAGATACCACGGAATACCACGGATACCGGAATATATATATGTATATATATTACAAAAGTTTCTGTATTCCCTTGGAACAGAAAGAATGGTGAGTGTTTTGTGCCTGTGTGCACACAAGAATTTATTGTCAGTCAATTCTCATATCTTAAGAAACCAAACTTTTTATGCCAAGCTTGTGTTTTCATAAGCCATCTGGGGAGTTTACTTGGTTCTACACATAATAGTTTGGTATATTATGTAGGAAAGGGATTAATTCAAAGAGAGTGATATGGGTAGGTCATGTAACATACATGTGAGAATGAGAAGTGTGTACAAAGATTTTGACAGAAAACCTTAAAGAATGAGACAATTGTGGAGATGGATTTTTTAAAGATATAATTTTGGGAAGTTTGTACTGGGTGTGATTATGTCAGGATGCAAAGTTATGATGGGCATGTGTGAACACAGTAATGAGGGATTAGGTTCCGTAAAGAGCAGATACGTATTTTCTGTACTTTCACAGGGTCCATAAGTATCTCAGGAAGGTCCCTGCATTATGAACTTAACACTTCCTAAGATTATGAAGTCTAGAGAAGAAATCTGTAAAGAGCAGCTGTTATAGGTTAGATGTAATGAGAAACAGCTACAGCAAGGAGAGCATATATTGTTTCATGTATGGTGGTGTTCAGCCATGACTGATAGAAGATGTGATGCCTTTACAGAACTATACAAATTCAGAGAAGGTTTTAGTGGGTCCATATGGTGAGACATACCCAGAAAGTCATGATGCAAACCAGGCCATGAATATAAAAGCTGAGGAAGTCTCGGATGCAGAAGAGGAAGTGGATCCTCTGCAAATGACAGTTCAGGAAGTAAAAGCTGAACCTGAGGTGAGCTGTATGTTTCTGTATGTCCACTCTTAGGCAGATATCACAAATAAGGGAGAATTTCACTTGTCGTTCTCATCTACATCTGTCTGTGCACGTGCAACAGTTCCACTGTGCTGCTGACTTGCCTTTGAAGGCCTTTCTCTGAAGTGTCTCTAGATAGTTATAGTTTGTTGAGTGTTGCTGCTTGTGATGTACCACTTCCATTTCCTTTTAAGCAGTTCCGATGTAGATGAAATTAAATTTTGCATAAACGGAACTGTATTTGAGAGAAGTTCTATAGCAGCAAAAATCCGTAGGAAGTCACAGAACTGTTCGCAGTTGTTATTGGTACACTTGTTAGAACCAAAAATTTAAATTACTACAACTCTTGTAAGCTAATTCCAGTGAACCCCACAAGATGTTTATCATGTGATGAACAGGTTTCAAGGTTACAAAAGATTCTACATTCTCTTGCAACAAGAGTGACAAGAATTGTACTGTATAGAGCTGAAGAAAAGTTTCCTGCTGTAAGCAAAAGGATTGTGAGTGTTTCGTGCTTTTGTGCACAGACAAGAGTTTTATTGCTGTATTTCAGTGTTCTTGTCCAAAGAAACTAAATATTTTGTGATAACGCTTCTGTTTGTTTGCATAATCCACATGGAGCGTTCCTTACACTTGGGTTGTAAGAGTTTGGGATATTATGTAGGAGAGCAATGAGTTCAAGGAGAGTGATGTGGGTAAGTCATGTAGTGCACATGCAAAAGTGAGAAATGCATACAGAGTTTTGGAGGGAAAACCTGAGAGAAGCAGACCACTTGGGAGACCTAAGTGCAAATGGAAAGATGCTATTAAGATAGATTTTAAAGAAATAATTTGGAAGGGTTTGTACTGAGTCTATTTGCCTTAGGATATGGAGCCATGATGAGCACAGTAATGAGCCCTTTCTGGCTTTCTCAACAAATCCTATATGCATTCCTCTTCTCCCCAATCCCTGCTATATGAGCTGCCCATCTCATCCTCCTTGACTTTAGCTTTTAGGTACAATAAATAACTTCATGGAGCTGAGTGAGTCCTTGAGAATCCACCAGTTGCTTGGCCACTGAAGAATTTCCCAATATTGTATAGAACCTCGAAGTTTATTGACATGTTCACAAAAACTCATCATAAGTCCCTATCCTGATCCATATGAATCCAGTCCACACCACCCATCCTGTCTCTTAAAGATCCAGTTAAATATTATCTTCCCACCTATGCCTAGGCCTTCCTAGTGGTCTCTTTCCTTCTGGCTTTCTCAACAAATCCTACATGCATTCCTCTTCTCCCCCATGCCTGCTATATGAGCTGCCCATCTCATTCTCCTTGTCTTGATCATAAAATTATGCTTGGTGAACGAAGGTTACAGTTTGTGGAGGTCTTCATTATGATGTTTTTAGGTACCAAAAAAGCAGATATTTTCTGTACTGCCGCAGTGGCCGGTAGTTCGTCAGGAAGGTCACTGAGCAATGAACCGAGTACTTTCTAGTGATCATGATAGCTGTAGAGAAGAACATCCATACGAAACATCTCTTATGAGTTAAATGTGATAAGAAACAGCCATAGCAAGGAGAGCATACGCTGTTTCATGTGTGGTGTTTTACACCCATTTCTGAGAAGGATGTGATGGTTTTTACAGAACTGTACAGATTCGGAGAACACTTTAGTGGGTCCATATGGTGAGACATATCCAACACCTCATGATGCAAATCAGGCCATGAATGTAAAAGCTGAGGCAGTCTCAGATGCAGAAGAGGAAGAGGATCCTGTCCCAATAACATTTCCAAAAATAAAGGCTGAACCTGAGGTGAGCTTAGGGTTACCATATGTCCTCATTTTTCTGGAGATGTCCTCATTTTTGAGGGGTAAATTACCGTCCAGGAGGAATTTACAAAATTAAGGCGAATGTCCAAAAGTTGGCCGTATTTCAATTTTCTTCTCCTTTTTGCCTAGCATCTTTGCTTTATTCATGTATCTCCTCCTTGCAAAGGGAGTATTCATTTGACTAATCCATGTTCACTTCCGGTTCCTTAGTCTTGCTGTGGAGTCAGTGAAAGGACTAGCTGTTGTGAAATATAACTTTCATCATTTCAATTGTGTTGCATTTCATTCATACTTGCTGAAGTATCCTCACATTTTAAAAGAAATTATGTCAACAGAAAAATATTCATGGTCTGTTAAGATGGAACATAGTGACTGGATTTCAATTGAACAATTATAGGCCTAAATGTATTGTAGTGACTGAAATTTGATTGCACGAATAAGTGTATTGTTAAAGTTTTTGTGTGTATTGTGTATTGTGTGTGTTAGAAGTTACATAGGGGCTGGTACGGCTCGATTTGTATGTATGGTGTCCTCATTTTTAAGTTTCAAAATATGGTAACCCTAGGTGAGCTGTATGTGCACTGTTAGGCAGATAACACAAATGAGCAGAAATACAGTTTGTCTGTCTGATATCGATCTCTGTGAATATGAAACAACTCCACTGTGCTGTTGACTAGCTTTTGAAGGTTTTTCTTTCCTGAAATATTTCTAGGCAACTGTAGTACGTTGAATGTTGCATGCGATGTACCACTTCCATTTTTGTTAAACAGTTCTAATATAGATAAAAATAGATCTTGTGTAAACTGAATGTTTGCGGTAAATTCTATACAGGAAAAATCGTCCACATTTTCTTTGTCAGTCCAATCCACTAATCGGTGCTTTGGTACTACATCGTAGGGATCTAAGGATCTATAAATGCTGAAGTTTTATCGTTTGTGTTCTGTCTTGGATGCAGTCTGTATCCATGTAATAACATAGAGCTGTCATTATGTTGAGGATTTGTTATAGGATTACTAATGATTCTCTAAAGGTCTGTGATAATGTTTGACAGATAATAGACATGTATTGCCTGTTGCCCTTTGTTTGAAGTGAATTTAATATACCTGACACTGTTGGAGTTGCCTCTGTACCTGCTGTCAGGTGATTAGTTGTCATGACAAATTTTTTTGTTGTTTTATGTTAGACAGAAAGGTTGCTAAACATTAGATACAGTGAATGTGTAAGAGGTATAGAAAGCAATAGTGAAGAATTGTCATTGGCAACACATCCTAAGATATAGACCCAGTTGTGGTGAAGTGGAATATACAGTGCATGTAATTAAACACACAAACATAGCTATTAATGAACATCAAAGACAATTTCTACATATACTAGGTGGTTCAAATATGACCGGGACTGATTTTTTTGTAAACAAGCTGCACTGCACAGCAGCTATGTGACCTTGAGAGAGTGAACCCACAACCTCCACCCTCCCTCCTGTTAGGGTTAGAACCTGTTCAGTCCTGTCTGGAAGTTGCTAGAGTGATGAGTGAACAGAAGGTACCGCGGAGCATGGAACAACGCATTGTGATCAAATTCCTCGTTGGAGAAAATGTCCTGTCTGCTGAAATTCACCACAGACTCCAACAACAGTATGGGGAAGAATGTCTCCCACGGACCCATGTGTTTGAGTGGTGTAAGTGCTTCAGAGAGGGCAGAGAGCACATGGAGAATGAACCGCATGATTGTCGGCCGCAGACATCCGTCACCAAGTCAAACATTGATCGTGCAGACGCACTTATTCGTGAGAATAAGATCGCTATCAAGGAACTTGGAGCAGTGCTGTCCATTAGTGTTGGTAGTGCAGAAGACATCATGAAATACCACCTGCACTATCGCAAGGTGAATGCATGGTGGGTACCACGCACTTTGATGGACGTGAACAAAATGGCGCGCATGCAAGTTGCCAGTCGTCTCATACAGCAGTTTGAAGATGAAGGTGATGCATTTTTGAAGTCTGTAGTGACCACCGATGAAACGTGGGTGCACTACTTCATTCCCAAGTCCCAGCAATCATCATGCGAGTGGCGGCATACCAGTTCCCCCAAACCCAAGAGAGCGCGGAGGAGCCATTCGGCAGGAAAAGTGATGGCAACGTTCTTCTGGGACTGGCAAGGGGTTATCCATGTAGACTTTCTGACAGATGCCAGAACAGTCAATGCAGCTTATTATTACTCAGACCTCCTGGCAACACACGTGAAGGAAAAGATCCGATCCAAGCGGAAGAGGTGGAAAGCAGGTAGCCTTCCTTCAAGACAATGCACGCCCCCATATGGCCAAAACAACAATGGAAACCCTCCGGAAATTGAAATGGAACCTTCTGACACATCCCCCATAAAGTCCTGATTTGGCACCACGTGATTTCTACCTGTTCGGAAGGCTCAAATCAGACTTGCAAGGCATGCAGTTTGTGGACAACGATGCCGTTGTCCAGAATGTTCGGGAGTGGATACGCCACCAACCACAAAACTTTTTTGGAAAGGGCATCAGGATGCTTCCAGAACGTTGGAAAAAATATATTGACTCTGGAGGGGAGTATGTTGAAGACTGACATGTGCAAGTAAGTGTTTGGCAATTTTGGTTAAAAAAAAAATCAGTCCCGGTCATATTTGAACCACCTTGTACATATAGATGGAGGTTCTTACTTTTCTCTTCCAGTTCACTGCTCTGCGATTCACAGCGACTGATGCACCACTGGCTGCAAGGTGCATACAGATTTTGCCAGTGTATCAGTATGCCTGTGGCCAGTAACGTTTGGAATGAAGTATACAATTCACAGGTCACAGAAGTTGTTGAAAATGCTGTCTCCCTACATGTAGACATTTATTGCACTAACAGAAGTGGTTCTGAATAACCATTAAAGCTGTTGTGCCTGAATTTTTGCAGTTCTCCTATGAATATTTTTTTTCTAGTTCTTGCATGTGGGTTTTGCTGTTTTGAACTTTGTCATGCAAAGAACCACAGAAGAAAATATCTAAACTTTAAGGTCAGGTGAATGTGCCTGCCAAATACCAGTGCTTATATTTCTGTCCCTGAAAGTACTAGACAAAGCCTGTATAGACGTACGTGAAATGTGGGCAGTAGCTGAGTCTTGCTGAAACCTGCCTCGGAGTGTTTCTTCTTTT